GCAGAGGCACGGAGCTGCCGGGAGCGGGCAGTCCCACACCAAGATCTGAGATCCAACTATTCCTGACCAGCGCGGGGCTGTATCTCAGAAAATGTCATCTTGCCAACTTTACTGAAAAAGTTAAGTCTTAGTTAAGGTATGTTATGAAACTAAATTTTTATGTGCATGTTGTACTTAAACATTCTAAAAGTGAGGCTTGGGTTGGTTTTTTACATTTATTTTCCCAGTTATATCTGGTAAGCAATAAGTTTTCAACTATTTCTTTTTCTTTTCAGCATATGTAGAAAAGAATTCTTACCTTGTAGGGACAAAATCTTGCAGCCAAAAATAGGAGATCAATGTTGACAGTATAATAGAGAGAGAAGTTGCAAATCCCTTTAAAATGTTGTCCGCATATTTTATAACAGCGGCAATCACCAGCCCGCCAAGTGCCTGAAAAATATTGAAGTTTGGATTTACAACCTGGTAGTTCCACTGAGCATCTATTTTAACAACATGCACTTACTTAAGGAAAAGCTTTTGCGTATGTTTAGGAGCATTACATTTATTTTACGTTATGGATATGCACTGTTGAAGAGAAATATTGGAGGAGGTCTTCTTTCTCCACTGAAGAAACTGTTGATCACATTACCATCATTAAATTAGTGGAAATGCTTGTACTATACATTTCTGCCACATGAGGAAGGGCATATATATAGATAAATATATATATATATTTTAAACATTGCCAAAGAAATAATGCTTACATGCTTTGATGCTGCACAACACTGAGTCACATACTTGCTATGTATTTCCCAGTTTTTTATTTAGAGGCTTATTCTAATAGTGATAGATCAGACTTTTGACCAGAGAATTCTTAGTAGCTCCCATTAGTTTTTCCAGTCATTTGTAGAAGAGGAAATCCCAAGTGTCTTCAGAAACACGTGATACAAGGTGTCTCACCTGTAGGACAACAACTATCCAAGTAAGTTTATTGTAGCCTTGAAAAAATCCATTCTTTGACAGTTGTTCTCCATCATAAATGTATACACCCACCAGTCCAAATATGCTACCGAAGAAACCTGAAAGTACAAGATTGATTTAAAAGTTTCAGGTGAAAAACACGCAGACAGGTTCCTTGTCCTCAAGGACTGCTCAGATAAATGTGATTTTAAATTGGGACTGCCACTTGCAATACCCTCACATTCAAATGCAATCAGTGTTCAGACAGACACTCTCTTTTAAAAGCTATTTTCCACACCTATAACAAGTTTTGACTGTTTTCATTAGGACATTTTCATATACTTATCTTCCATTGATTTCTACTGGAATGGGATAGCAGAAAGCAAAATTCACTTAAGCACAATTTCAGTTTTCTGAAACTAGTCACGACTGAAGGCTGAAGCCACACTATAACCTGGAGAGACAACCAGGGAACACTTTCAGTGGAGGAGACGGTCACGGACACAGCAAGAGCAGGACTCATCAGGCTGCTGATTCAGACAAGGGCCTTGGAAGTGGGATTCTTCTGAACCAGTCTCAAACACAATGAGTGTTCATTAGCAGAGACTTAATGTCAAAAGAAGAAATTGCAATAAGATTAAAAGGTTTGCAATTCGGTGAGTATAGTGTTCTTCTATCAGAGAATAAACGTTTCCTAATCCCGTCAGGCATGGAGGTAATGCAAGCGCCTCCTCCGTGCCTGAGGTAGGCTCCAGTCCTGAGCAGCAAAGGGGGGACAATATAAATAAATTCAACTATTCATACATCCCTAATATGGCACTGGTATACATTAAAAACTGAATTTAAAAGAAATAATTCAGATCTATTTTCTAATTTTTTCTACAGTTCTAATAACTCTCTATGAATACAAAAATTAAACCCAGGTTGGACACATGGTTTTTGTTGTTTGTTTTAAGAAAAGCTCTATTTCAAAGCTCTTGCTTATGACTGACTGACTCTTGAATGACGCAGTGTCTTAAGTGGACAACTACCTTGCACTTGCAAAAAGCTTACACTAACATAGTACTGAAATTGTGATTTCAAGTTTTAAATATTTCCTAAAAGCTGTGTCAGGAAACTCTCTATGAAATATGACAAAATTACTTTCACTTTTTAACTAAAACCAACATATTCTGCTGAAATTTGTGTTGAGGTACAAAAACTAAAAGAAAAGATCAGGTGATTTGATTCTCACTGTTATCACAGCCATTTTTGTCTTCATGCATCGCAGTCCTAGTTGTTCATTACCTTGAACAGTTTGTGTTTAGACGCGGTCTGTTCTGATCTCATTGTTTTCACAGAGCAATTACTGGAACATTCAAGATATGACCAGGCCAACTATCAAACTAGTGAACGAATTTGTTTGCATACACACTTTTGTGCACTGTCGAAAAATCTGAAAAACGTTTTACAAGAGATCATTGATTTTTCAACAATTATGAATGTTTAATGAGAATTTTGTTCAGATATCTGCACTGTTGCCCACTAAAGCACTTCTAGCATGGAAACTGAGAGTAATAATAATCAGCTTCCCTCAGCAACAGATTTTCCGTTGTAGCTCCATCCAGAGCACCAAATCTTACCTTAAATGCTGGACCAAGCCCCAGCTACCCACTCTTCTCTGCCTCCAAAATTCCCTAACATAACCTTTCCTGATTTATCCCCTACACACTATTCAAGAAAACTAAGTTTTAGCGCACACAATTTCAATAAATACCAGCACATAGTAAGCAGAGGGTTTGATCCCCTTCTCTATGCTCATTTCAAGCCATTATGGACAAGTAAAAATATTAACATTCAATCAAAATGAAGTTCTTCCAACCATTTATAATTAAAACACAGCAACAGGGAAAAAAATGGAAAGAAGTATTGCCTGTATTCAGACATTTTTGACCAACTATTACAAATATTACTAATTACAAAAACCCCACATCATCTCCTGTTTTCATGGTCCTTCATTACATTCTACCAGAGTCAGTCCACAGCCCTAATCTACCACATCATCCTCATGACTTAATTCTACAGTACTGCGGATTTGATCAAGAGCCTGTACTGAGGTGCTGTAAAGCTCAAATGCTGCTGAAAGCATTTATTAAAATATGCAATAAATAATAACTGCCTGAGGATGGAGACCAGAGAAATTCCATCAGAGAAAGAAGGCTAACTCCAGTAGTAAGTTTTGTTCCAGTTGCAAAAGGGGAACAAAAAGATATTGCTGAGGTCCTATCTCCAACCCTATGAACTGGACAAGATTGCTTTGAGGTGAGGGAAAACTCATTCAGGAAAATGGATCGGCTCTGTCGCCACTAATATCTTGTGTCTAGAAATCCCAGAACTACCTGGGAAAGAGCAGCTATTCTCTGATAGGTGTCAATAGGTAAGGCCATTAAAATAGTTAACATGAGCTGTCTTTTGCGTATGCCTTTCTCCAGTGATTATACAGACAACTGAAACAAACTGGCCTTTGTGCTGAAATATTAATTAATTACCTCAAATTTATTCACAAAGCAGGTTTTTCTATATTAAAAGTGCCAAGCTATAAAAACTGCCTACCCAGACACAACAGAAAAAAATGTTAATTATAAAACATCTCAAACCATTGGTATAGAAACGTATTTTGTTTTAATGTTCTCATATTCTCTAAAAATGTAAAAAAGAGGGAAAAGGATTACATCTATATTTCTTTATCAGATCTTATGAACTAGTGCAAAAGACAATAATTTTTAAACACAGCGGATACACAGAATCCTGCATAAGAGAGCATTCTTTGGAAAACTGTACATACAAATTCAACTGAGAAATTCTGTACAAACTTACAGACACTCCATAAGCAAGTTAAATCAAGAACTAGGTTGAGACAAGAAAGCAGCTGCTAGAATTCTATCGGGCAGCGTTTAAGCTCTTGGTTTTAAAAGTACATTTATGCAGAATATTAAAATGCTGGTGTTTTAATCTGTTAAAATATATTTTACAAATTTATGATAACTCTTCAGAAAGCAGTATCTTTAAGAGACGACCAAAATTAAACTTACCAAGCTGAATGTTTCTGATCCACACAGACTGCTTAGTTTCCTTTAAGATTTTCTCAAAATAAACCCCAGCGAATCCACTAGAAAAGCAGGCTATAAGAACTGCCATCAGGCCAATGAACTGAGATCCTGCAGAATGCTCCTTAGCAGCTGTCGCTTGAGAGTCCGAAGGCCACTGCATGTAAAAACAATTACACAAAATTCACTGACAAGATCAAGTCACGAGCAGCTATAAATGGCAAATTTGTATTCTAGCAACAGTAAGTTACTAAATGCAGACAATCACATGCCTGTGAAGTTTTCTATTTTGCACCATAAATGCTTTTAAAGGACTGCAAAGCCATAATTTTTCTTTCTACGTATTTGTAATGAGTAAAATTGTACCTGAACAGGGACAATACCCATCAATTTAAACAGGCCCAAGATTTATGTTTCCTAAGCTGGAGCTGTTTCTGAATGCCAGCGTGACTTAGCATGGCCATTCACAGTCTCCAACTTCTGCCACTCAACAGTTGGTTACCCAACAAATACAAGCACGCTTAGGAAACCACTTACAGCGGCTGTCTTTAAACCGGGAAGAATTGCCTTTTGCATGTGGCCCTCTTCAGTGATTATGCAGACAACTAAAACAAGCTGAAATTTATGAAGCTAAATGTTGCAATATATCTAATGCTAACAGAATAAAATGCAATGCCACAGACAAAAATATACTGCAGTCTGTTAATTACTACCAGAGTGTTTTGTTCTCATTTTTAATTACTAAATTTGAAAATTTTATCAAGTTTAATCCTCAGGATTTTTAAAAAATCCTTGTTTTAAAATAAACATTTCTAGGATATGCTAAAATACATTTTAATAAATCTTCGAATAGCCTCTTATCCCATGATCCTGCTCTCTGAAAACTACAAACTCCTCTACCTGCACTACTTAGAACAGAGGGAAAGTTTCTCTGTTGAAACAGTTCAAGAAAATTTGCCATGCTGAAACCACATCATAAGGTGAAGAGCAGGACTGTGCTGGCACAAAAGATCTCTGAATCTCTAATATCTGAAAAAGTGTGCTAACAAATGCTGCTATCACTGCTATTTGCAGGTGGCTCCAGAGGCGCTGGCACATTCTACAGTAGAGCTCAGGGACATGACAGAGGTGTTGTATTCTGCTTCTGAACCATTTCTGGTGTCCTATAGCCCTGGCCAGTTGTGATTCACGGCTCTTGACCATGTTCTGGTGCTCGTGTGCCCCTGGTAGAATCAGAAAGCTGCATGAACAGTATAGAAATCCATGTTTCTTGATTTAATACATTAAATAAATACAAACCACCTGTTAATATTTACCTGCACAAACGCCACTCCTGTCATCAATATTACTAATGAAAGCCACTGGTATACACCCAATTTCTTGCTCAACATGGACACAGAAAACAACGCCGTGGTAAGAATTTTCAGTTGATACGTAACCTAGAAGAACGCAGAAACAGTGACTACCACATAGTTAATGGGTTGGGGTTTTTTTTGAAACTCACAGAGAAATCCAAATGTACAATACCTGGTACGTGGCTGCATCTAGGTTTGACAATGCTACATACAGCAAGTTATTCTGAAGAGTATAAATTCCTGAAGGAATAGCAAGTTTAAGAGTTTCCATGGGTTTGTTAAGGATTTCATCATGTAGCACTCTGTTGAGAGTCCGTAAATTGCACTCTACCCAAAGAAACGATAAAAGAAACAGACATTCACTTAAAGCAGAAAAAAAAATAAAGACAGCAATGTTCAGTTCTTAAAGACTGCTGCCCCCCTTTTATAGCTATCACTGCTATCAAGACTTTGATTTTCATGACCCTCATATATGGAAGGAAAAAAGGCTGCAAAGTGTCTTCCTGTAGCCTGGAAAAACTAGAACCATTATTGAGAATAGTTTAAGTAAAACTTATTTAAATCATATCAGTATTTGAAGACAACACATTAAAGAATATCCCCTAAAAAATGCACACTTAGGAGCCTATAGAGTCATCAATATTTATGCATATGAAATGATATTTTTAAGCTGTTGAAGATCAAATACATATGTCGAGGAACAGGATAAGTTCAGTATAAAATGTACAGAATAAGAACTAGAGTAAATCTGAATGCATTTTTTCTGAGCTCAAAATTGTACATCTTCCTGTAGTAATAAAATTGCTTCCTCCCTTCTACATCTGCTGTTTATTATAGGTTTCTAAATTATCATTCATGCTTTGTACACACTTAAATATTTTAACTTTTTCCTACTTCTACATATGAGTTTCTTAAAATGCCTGAGGAAACACAAGCTGTTAGTAGAAAATTTATTCTTGCACTCCTCAGTATCCACACTCTTTAAAGAGAGCACTCTTCAGCAAATAGACAGCAAATAGACAGCATTTTCTATGGTGCTGAGGAGTGAAGCACAATCAGTGTCTTTCCAAGACTACTTCTTACATGAAAAGGGAAATGCTTTGTTGTACGCCTGTACTCACATGGCTGCTTTGCAGTTGTCACTACAATACAGCATATTGATTAGGAAAATTACTTGGTGCAAAATTGGACACATACTGCTGTCTTTGTAGACCAACAGAACACAAGCCAAAATCTTCAGAAGTTCAGCAATAACTACTGCAGTAGAGGACAAGTAACGAGGTCCTTCTTCTTTCAGTGTCCGAGAATAACGCATGGTCAAGACTAAACTTGTGGTCTGAAAAACCAGGATGCCCAAGGAAAGGTATTTTAAATTCGTTGACATTTCTTGACTTTGTTCTTCCTGAAACAGAAAAGAAACCCAACCAAACTCAGGCTTAAAAGGTAATACTGCAGAGAGGTGTTTCCCTTAGGAATCAGCATATCGAAAAAGCTATCCAGGGAGCTCAGCCAAAAGAAAACAACAAAGCTGATCTGATATTTAAAAAGAAAAAGGAGATTAACACTTAAAAGTGTTTTTCAAATACATGATTACAAATGGAGAAACATATCAGAATACCAGAAGTGATAACTAATAAAGAAATGAAACGGAATATTTCTTATCTGTAATAATAATAAAGTAAAATAAGCACTATTAACTGACAATTAACTTCCCAATAACTGCTTTCACAATGAAATCTCCCAAGTTAAACCAATCACGCATTTCTTTATGTAGGTGAGGGCTCAGAAAGTATTTTCAAAGTGAAAAAGCCCCACACCATGGTATTGCAGAATGCCCAATGCCCCTGCTGCAATAAGCTGTTCCCAGAATGAAGAGATCTTCTCATTCTTCCACCTTGCCAAAGTTTTTCAGGTTTTTCTCTGCCTTGCCAGAGGACACAGGCCAGCATAAGACAAGGTGAGAGCTTGGCTGCTTTCCATGGAAATGAGAGGTGTGCCTGGCCGCAAAGGAAAAGGAGCAATGTGGGAAAGTGGGGTCAGATAGGAAGGCGTGAGATGGGGGAGCTGCAGGGAGACAGCACTAAACTTGTCCTGCCAACAATCCTGCTCAGAAAAATTCAGTTGAATATAGATGAATATCTAGTAGGTTGGTCCTACTTCCTCATAATGCACCGACTAGCACAAACCTCACATTAGTAAAGCTGTATCATCCTCATCTCTACCATGAACTTTCACCAAGCAGACGTGGTTTTCTTTGCCCTTTGCCACCAATTAAAGCATTAACTTGGTGCAGATGACGACCAGAGAAAGCAATTCTCATTTTGCAAGCACAATATATTACAAAGAGATTAAAGAAATGCATCACTGCTATTCAGCATATGATATACTTTTCTGCTATTCTTCATATTAAGCATGAAGAATTTCCATACAGAAATTAATGCTTTCTATAAAAATTAGCTACTACTGCCTTCACTGCCCACATATTCAAAAACAGAGTAGTGTTTTATAATGCCAAAGTAAAATCAAATCTGTAATTAAAAGTTAACTAATATGTTTTCAAGTTAAAGAAAACCAGAAACAAGTCAAGACAATGACTGTGGTTCTGAAGTCTAGAGATGGCACGAGCAGTACTTCTTGGATGCGTGTGCCAGGGCTGTCCCTGTGCATGTTTTACACCTGCAGGTACACAAGTTTTGACTCATTAACCATCTAGTTTTGTATACACTGCTGAAAGATGTGCTGGTACCTCTAAAGATTCACAGCTGAAACTGAAGCTATTTCTTGCTGACTGCATTCCTCTAGCTCAAGATGCATTTCATTACAATCTTGCTTTTTTTTTAACCAGAGATCTGGCGAGCTGTTTTATTAAATATTTCTGACCTGCCTTTATCTTGTCTCTAAGCATTAATTTTCTCCAGTCAAGTATACAAAGTTAAATTAATACCTACATGGCATAGATAATTAAGAGCCATTGCAGTAACAAATATGAATTGCCAACAGCCACAGAGATAAGATGTACATACTTGTATCCTACACAACAAGATTGTTTACCTCAAGAATCACGTAGCTATAAAAATATCTGTAAAAGCATAGTGGCAAAGGAGGAAGAAAAAGATGCCAAGATGCAGAAACTGAGGAAGAAATACACAGGGATTTCTTTAAGGAACCGTGATAGAAGATACTTTAGTATGAACCATGACCATTTAACTCACCGAAGAGACAAATACTAAAGATGCAACTGCACTGGACACTATAAATCAGATAGAAATGTAAAGCATGAAGGAGAAGAAAGCTGCAGACAGAATTTGAGATTTGCTAACTTTGTCCACAGGTTCTGGTGGAATAACCCCTTACCTGAGGATGTGAACTGTGGTGTTACACATCCCCAGCAACAAAATGGAGAAGATCAGTTAGCCAGAGGAACCTCTTTGAAGAACAGATTTGCTATAGCTGAGAACAAGGAGGAGAAACAGAAAAGCAGTCCCCATGAAGGGATGAAGAGGAGACATGGAAGGTCCAAGATGACACTCTCCGGAAAATACCAGCAGCATAGAGAAGACAGAAGGAGAAAAAGGGAAAGCAAAGCAAAGCAAAACAAAGCAACACAATCCTCTGAGAGAAAACACAGAACTGAACGTCATGAAAAGGTCTGCATAGGCTACTGGAGAAAACTGCTATTGCAAAATGCACGTTTATGTGAGCCAGCCTGCACAATTTCTTCCACCTTTTTCATCTACCTCATTTTTTAGTATTGAGACCTGACAACCTGGAAACACAAAGTGCAATATATGGTTAGGATGAGCAACACTAAATTTCACGAAAGCAGGCTTACAGATAAATAAGTCTGTATACTTCCTGGTTTTCAGTTTTCAAAATGCTTCTGAACAAATTACGGATAATGGGAACACTCCTGAACTCAGACCCCAGTTTTTATGTGAGCCTGTGAAGTGACAAAGGGTTTTACAAATGTTCAAAATTCTCAGAGATCAATTCCTCAGCCTTCAAAATAGGTCACAATATCAGAAAATAATGTTCACAGGAATTTCTTGCTGAAATACAACCATCTGTTTACTAAGCAGCTTAAAATGTAATTTAAAAGGTAAATCACTAATACCTTGTTTATGAGGAAGTACCAAAGAACTCAGCAGGAAAACATGCCAACAAGCACAACACTTTAATAAGCCCACAAGCTAAGCCATAAGAAATACACACCACAATACTATCTTGAACTGCAGTCTTGTCTTAATTAGTAATTACAATAAAAAGGGAACTTTCCCCAACGTGTCTCAAAAAGGTGCCAGTAGCAGAAAGTATCTCCTTACCATAATCCACTGAAGCAGTTTCAGGCTTTCCAAAATTCACACAAAATGGACTTTTAAATGTCCTGTGCAATAGCCGAAATAATGGTATTTGTTAAAAGCTGTCCCGGCACTGGTCAGCAAGACTTCACAAGCATGTGAAGTTTCATGCTGCACTCACAAATAGTTGGTTCACAGAGCAGGAACTGCTGAAACGTAAGTATGGCAATAAAATAACCACCCTCTACTGAGCACACATAATATCTTACCAACTCTCCTAGTCCCTCATCCGTACTTTTAAAATAGCTGCATATTAGTTCATAGAACTCGGATCCAGAAAGGGTGCCAAGCACTGAACTTCAACCAGTTGATCTGTCTTCAGCTGCAGTTTCAGAGCAGGTTTAGACTTACAGATTACTACCAGAGGTGTAATCGCTCTCTTCTAGCCATGAGTTCCTGCAGCCCTCACTGCAAGAGACTGTGCAGTCATATACTGAATGAACTGTTGTCTTTAGTAACAGCCCACGCTTTGATTGTCTTAAACCAATAATGACATGAAAGTTCCCAATGCATTTCCTGTACAGAGTTACAACCAGGCTAAGATTTCTTACCGAGCTTTGGATAGACTACTCAGTACTCTGCAGGATGCATCTGTTTCAAAACTCAGATTTAGGTTTGCTAATTCAAAGACTGGAAGTTGAGTCACATTAACTCAGAGAATTTTGAACTGTACCTTACAGTGAGAGGTGCTAAGTAGCTGCAACTCACCGGCTGTAACACACCCTATCACATCTGTTAACTCAGTGACTGGGCTCATTCTTCTTCTCTACTGTTCACCTAGGTAAAACAAAAAATAAACCGCTTCTGTGCAGTTTATTCAGTGTATCATGTAGACACACCCTACAGCCAGATATATGGAAGGCAGGGGAAGAGGTTAAAGGCAGGTCTATGTGGGAAGTCAACATGCAGTAAGCCAAGATGGTATTTGCAGCCCTGTAACATTTGACTTCAGTACACACAGGTGGATAAAACACAGGTGGCTACTAAGTGAAGTGTTGTTCTCCTTAAAAATATAAAGGAAAAGGATCTGGGAGAGGTTTTACAGACGCAGAAAACAAACCAAAACAATCTATGCAGGAAGTAATACTATCAGCTACAAGTATCATACTGTGCAAAGTCTGAAAAATACCTGTTCAAAGGAAGCAGATTTTTTTAAAGTGGAAAATAATAGAATTATATAGCTTGGAAAGGACCTTTGAGATCACTGAGTTCAGTTGTTAACCTAACTCTGCCAAGTCCACCAGTAAACCATGTCCCTGAGCACCACATCTCCATGTCTTGTGAATACCTGCAGGGAAGGTGACTCCACCACTTCCCTGGGCAGCCTGGTCCAGTGCTTGATAAGCCTTTTGGTGAAGACATTTTAGATTCATTGAATTTTTAAGGTTGGGGTGCCTTACATTTTCACACATCATTTTATAAATAAAAAAGATCGCACTTCATACACAAATGAACCAAATTTTGTTTATTTGACTGTGCATTTCTTTTGCATCAACTACATTGAAAGGTCTTTTAGTATCCCAAGTTAGCCAGTATTCTGCATTATATTTCATTTAATTCATCCTGAATTACTAAAAAAGCTTTTCTTACAGTCACTGCAGCTGGCTCACTTTTTGTTATATTCGTTAAATTATTTTCCTTAAGTTTCTGAAACTTCAAGAGAATATCAGAGAAAACTTGGCAAAAAGAAATCAGCATCCAAAAAACCTCAAGCACCCAACACTGTCTCAAAAAGCAGCTAACACAACATAAAAAGCAACTAACAATTCAAATAACAACATGCTTTCTGTCAAATGACTGAGCAACCCACAGTAAAAGGCATGTGGTTACTTCGTATTTCAACTGCCAGGTAACAGATGTGACTGTACAATACAGTCAAGGAGGTGCAGGTACTCACTGCCTCTCCCTGTAACATACAATTAAAAAGTCACTTACAATAGTTCTGTGGCACTTGTGGTCAAAATGTCCATAAATCAAGGCCCATTTACCCCTTACCACTGACATCTTTACAAGTCCATACAGAAAAAAATGAGAGGAGTTCATG